ATACAGAACAAAGTCACAGTAAATTCATTAGTAACGTTCGAGAAAAATTATATGGCTGTGAGCACTAAAGTAAATCAGACAAATCATGCTTCATAATGACTTTCAGTGTAACTTACATTATTTGAAGTATCAGTGCACCATGATATGGAGATTTCTGCAGATGGTTAACTTAACCAAAAAGATGACTCTAGTAAACTAGGGGAATTTTTTTCCACAAAATAATTAGTAACTGGCTTTCAACAAGAACGAATATCACTTTTTAAAGTCATATCAAAGAGCGGTAAATTTAAACAGCAGTTACACTCTTCCAAAATGGCATTTGAAGCAGAAGTACAAAACAAGTCCCAAGCTCCTTTTATAGAACTAAGTCAGAAAAAGTAATGAAAAACGTATTATCTAAAATTATATTAACAAAAGAAATATTTCTGACATACCATAAGTCGACTCTTATATACATACTTCACACCTCGAGTAGACGGATTTTCCTTTTTCTTTGCGAATACAACGCATAATTCAAAAAGGAAAACTTGTCTTTCAGTGCCTTTCTTAAACAATGATCTCGGGTCCCACACAATAAAAGTTTCTTGCATTACAAAATCTCCAAGTGCCCCAAGATCCTAAACACTGCTGAAGTAGTCAAAGATCGTTGATAGTGATTCTACTAACCAAAAAATTTACTGAAACACTTCTCCTTTCAAAAACCACCAAAGAATTCTAGAAGTTACCTTGTATCCTTCGAAATTGCCCAGATGCATGAGATCATTTGCCCTACGTGGCACACTAACAACTACATCATAGGCTTCCTAAAAGCTGCTTTCATGACAAATTTAAACGTTGAAATTAGTTGAAATCCTGCTTATATGAGCCTCACTTTTATCATTTCGACGTTATTTGTACAATACTTCAACAACTGTTCTAACATTAGCCGGTATCTGGTTATCCTCTGCACAGGTTTTATAACCAGGGACTGCAAATCTTGGCTGTGCTCGAGATTATATTTTTCGCGAATGTTCTGAAAAAAAATAAAATATTAACCTAAAGATTGCAACACAAAAACTAGAGAATAACTCGCTATAAAACCCTATAT